TCTCACTGCTTGCATTGCCATGGTAACAATCAGAACGGCTGCAGAGGAAACAGACTTTTCATAAGTAAGATTGTGAGCAGCTGCCCAAAGCTAAACTGTAGGTAATAATGTAGATACAGAAGTATCCGTATCTGCCGTGAATGTATATACAATGGCAAATATCTGTACAGGTTGTTCCTGAATGGAGACGTTTTTAAGGTGTATTAAAGCATTAAAAAACATAGTCCACAGAGTTACAGACAGTTGAATTCTTACAAACACACATTCAGTGTGAAGAAATGTTTAAGCACTCAAGTGCTCTTTTGAGTGCAGTTGAAAAGGGGCCTTAATCACTTGCCTGCTTGTTTAAATCCTTCTGCGTGTGAATGCACAGTAGGCATGTGTTCGTGTGATGCCTCACATGTGAAGGCAAAGTCACTGTGTCCTCAGGTAGGAGTGTTTTTTTTTAAGCGATCTGTTGCCCACCAGTTTCATTTCCAACACACCTACTCACAGTCCCGAAACTTCAAAGCATGTCAGTAGATTTTTATTAGGAACCCACAGTGTGAAAAAAACATCCATTGATCTTAGAGGATGTATGAAGCAGGGTTTTGATTTTAAAGATAAAAGATCTTCAACCAGTGATATTGAGCTTAAACACATTTAAACAAAACAGAGACAAAAACAGCAGCTAGCATGAACAAGATCAACACTGCTGTACAGACAAAGATCAAATCAAAAGGTTTTTTCAAATGAGAATAAATGCACCTAGCCGTTTTTGCTGCAGTTTCCTTATCAGATTAAAATGGTACACTTTATGGACTTATACATTACACCTTCACGAGCTTCTTGGTTGTGGAAACCCATGCCATGAAGTTCTCCGTGGACAGTTTTTATGCTGATGTTAATGCCAGAGGAGGTTTGGAGGTCTGCAGTGACCGAGTCAGCCAAGTGTTTGTGACTTTGCACACTAAACTTGTGGATGAGTTGCTGTGGAGCCCAAACACTTTGCAATAATCCACTTAAAGCTGATGGTCGAATATTTAGTAGGCCAGAAATTTCATGAACTGTCTTCCTGCATCAGCAGCATCCTATCACAGTATCATATTGGAGTTCAAGGAGCTCTTTAAAATGCCCCATTCTTTCACAAATAAATAAAGGCAGTACAGACAGACTGGGGGCCTGATTTTGCACACCTTTGGCAATGGGACTGAAAATATCTGAAATGAAAGACAAAGAGGTTTGGTTCTAAACTTTTGTATGAATGGCATGAATACAATTAGTCCTAAAACAAAATATACCCCACTACATCCCAAACCTTAACACTGTATTCTCTTCAGTGTCAACCTGATTAAAAAAAGGAAATAAAAAGGTACTTGTGATTAGGTTTGCATACCTTCTGAGATTTATGCTCCACTAAATCATAACTAGACGTTTAGAACCTGCTTAAGTCTGAAGACCATTTAGTAATAAGGCAAAGAAGATTTTAAATTATCTTTATAAAATTCTAGCAGATAATATATTGACAGAACTTCTAAAACTGGGACTTCCTGTCTAATTGCCTCTGATTTGACAAATGTTTTCAACTGACTTGAAGAAACTTGTTTCCAGCTTTGAGATTTCTTGGGTTTCATTGGTTAGTCAAAACTAAACACTACCTAGCACTGTGACGGGACAAATTCACAAATAGCTGGCACAAGCCAATCCAGTTACCATTTCTAAAAATGTGGTAATGCAAGGAGAGAGCATATGTATGAATGGTATTTTCCAAGCCAAGGTTACACAGTGTGACCCAGCTGTTTGCTTTCTCTGTTAGCACAAAAGCCTTCAAGTCAACAGGTGTTGTTTGTTTTTTTGCCCTCTTGGCCTCCTCCTCCCTCTTGCGCCTTGACCCACATTCCTCTGTACTTGGATGTGGAGGAGCAATGTGATCTCACTGATGACCCTCTAGGCATCTAAAATTTATCCCCAAGTCATATGCCTCAGAATGAATAAGCCTGCCAAGGCTTCCCGAGATGTCGATGTTGATAGACTCAGATGGGCAGAGATTCAGCTGCCTCCAAGTCATTGCCTTGTTTATTACTTGCTTTTGCTTCTTCCA